CATACGACTTCTATCTGGCATCTTAGAAGAGCTTACATAAAACTTTAAGAGGCACACCTTTGTCCCAAGAGTCCATTTATAGTAACTTCTAAATTGGGCTAGTTTCTCAAGGTCTCAGAATCGGCATACTCCCTCCTCCCTCCCTCTCTCTCTCTCTTTCTCTCTCTCTCCCTTTCTCCCTCTCTCGTTCGTCTCTCAAGAACACAAGCAAATAGGGTTATGATGTGTGGTGGTAATGAAGAGATAAGGTCTGGTACTTGTGGCTATTGATTAAAATCTGTGATTGGATCCAGCATAAAGTCAGGAGTGGGTAGAATTCTGCAAAGCAAATAGGCTTCTTCCAGAGGCTGAGGAGCACCTCTGTCCCTAAACCGTGTAGTAAAAAAAGAGGGCATGGGGAAGAGAGGAGCTAATCGGTGATGGGCACATGCTGAATATTTTCCAGCAAGGTTTGATGTTCTGGGTCAGGAGGCTGGGAGCCCAGACAAACCCTGCACTGTGGTTCCAGCACTCTGAGTTTGAACTCCCTGCTTGCCATGCTCCTGGTGATCCAGAGGATCTCAGGAAGATTCAGGCAGTGGGGGAGGGGTGGTGGGAGAAGAGGTGAGGGGGAGTTTTCCCAGCCAAAACCTACTTCAATGGATCAGCCAGCCTCTGAATAGCAGCTTTTGACATCTCAGTGGGTTGTGAGGGAGGTGTGGTCATCACAAATGAAACAGACCACAGGGGGTGCAGGAGACCTCTGCAGGGCCCCTAATCAATTACTAAAAACACAGAGAGGGTCCTTGGAAAATGAGTGAAGGAGACAGATTCATGCTGACACTCAGTGGTATCACTGGGCACCAAAGGAGAAATTGGGGGATTTTCAACTTCACAGAGGATGGGGTGATTGTTTTCTTTCATCAGTCGTTGCCCTCAGAAAACAAAACAGAAACCAGAAAAGAAACATTGCCTATGGAAAAAAAATACATATAGAGGCTGAAAAGGAGGAAATAAAAGGAATGAAATTCTGCTTTTACGAAATAATTTAAATAGTCTTGAATGCCCAGAGGGCCCAGACATCGTATTATGTGTTACCAAGAGGCTGCTATCTCCCAAAGGGGATATGAAATGGGAGATGAATATTATTAATCATCCATATTTGCTATACGTTAGGAAACCGAGGAAAAGTGAAAATGAGTGATTTTACCTTCAGATTCACATGCTGTGGCAGCCACAGAGCTGGGATTGACAGACAAAAGCATGATGCCCGGCAAAGCAGAGGAGACACCAGCAGGCCGGGGGGCTCACACTGTCGAATGCAACGATGCCCAGGATCCCCATTTGCCACCTGGCAGAGGCTGGATCATCTGCTGCCTGAAGAACCCTGTAGGAGTGGCTGGGGACGCCTTTCCTGGGTCATGTCTACCGGCAATTCACCTGCTTGGCTCGGGCTGGCTCCAGTTCACTTAGAGGGACTCAAAGGGATCAAGTTGACGTTGAACCTCATTGATCAAACTGAGATTACAGAGCGCACACTAGAACATCAGATACACTAGACAGGAATTGTCTATGTAGTTTACTTCTACATCCCCAGGACCTAGAACATGGCCTGGGGCCCCACCCATATGTGTGGGATAAAGGAACAGATCATATTGCCATTTTCTTGGTGCTGGTTATGGTGACAGACACTAGAAAGAGAGAGATGAATCAGTCAGCCCTTCCTGAAGAAGTTCTGCAAGCATCTATGAGGTATTACGAAGTGGTAGGGAGGAGGAAGTTCTTTGACCAAATAAATATGAGAAGTTTGGTTTTATTTCGGAAGGATTTCTCATAAACTTCAACAAGTGAATATGGCTTGTGAATTTCCAAGATGGGCACATATTTACATCCCTTCTGAAATATAATTGATGTTGAAATCCCCCTGCCTGTTCTGCACGCACCTTCACAATGTGTACTAGGACTGGTGTTTCTTCCTTGGAGAAGGCATGGCACCTGTCCTTGAGTAACTCCTGATCTCTTGGTAGCCACTTCCATCCAAGATCTGCCGAGCAGTAACTCAGTCTTCCATGCTCACTGGTCTGAGAGATGACCAGATGATTGTAAGACCATGGCTGCCAACTATTCTACCCAGACATTTTTTCCCACTGTGGTCCCTAGATAGTCCTTACCTGGATTTCCAACCCTTAGCCCTGGAACATATGGGTAGAAGTCCTGATCTTCCTAAAGACAGCCAGTTCTAAATCTAAGCATGTGCTCACAATCTGATATTTAAAGCTGAGATAGACTCAGAAACCTTGAAGCCAGTTCTGCTCTCAGTAATTCTGACCTGGTAACACAAAGTCTAAATCCTGCCACCATGCCCGTCATCGACACAGGGATGAATAACAAAAGAAAACCGCTCTTTCAACCCCACAGCCAGAATATGCCTTCATAAGACAGAGCCCAGAGTTTGCAACACGTGGCAAAGTCCCCACATTTCAGCCTCAGTCTCCCATGTGGAGGGCCATGCATTCTGTCAGGCAGTGGACTCTACCCTTGCTGTAGTCCAAATAAATCACCAGTGCCCTGGTACTGAAGGGAGTTAATTGCATTTGGAAATACTCCGGGTACTGAGGTTGGTTTGGTCAAAGACGTGGGCAAGGGTAGGGTAACATATGCATTCACTTTCACGAAATACACTTTAAGAATAGCGGGCTCCGTGTTGCCTAATTTATAATGGATCCCACACACACTCTTTCCTGCCTTCTTTTCCTGGCGAAGAATGTGAGGAACCATGGCAGTATTTTTCTTTTAGGTATAACAGTCTGTCAGTATCAAATTCTCTGAGTCAGTGGGGAGCATATAGTGTTGATTTACTGAAAATCTGGGATTATGTCTGCTCTGTGGTGAGTAGATTTAAGAGAGGAGAGGTAAGGGTCTCAGAAAGGTGAGGAAAAACACAAATGAAAGCTAGCAGGGAAAAAATAGCTTGACAGTTAAGATACAGTGCAGCCACCATCAAAATCTTCTAGAAAGAGAAGCCCGGGAAGGAACACACTCACATACACACGAACACGCACGTACATCCGCCTCACGTCCCATGTACTGGAAGATTTGCAACCTTTTCAATTAACCTCTTTCTCTTTGGGGCATTCCGGATGTGTCAATGAAGGTTTAAATACTGCCATGTTTCACGCTGGAGAGAAATCGTGACAACAGATACAAACTTTTGTTTCAGTTTTTAAGAACTGGCTTAAAAAAAAAAAAGACTCAAGGAAAGTAAAGGGAATTCTTTTCTTCAAGGGCCCTTTGACACTTGATTCCTGGACCTTTTTGTCACCAACATTTCACCATCCCGATCATATCCCTAGCCTCCTGCTCTTTCTCCCCTTTGCCTCAAAATAGCTGTCACCTTGTGTTACTTTAACCCCAAGAATATTCCCCAGGAGCCCCTTAACCTTCCCTTTCTTCTTTTACTCTTCCTCCTCTTTATCCTGTTTTGAAGTGGAATACAATAACTAAACAGAATTAAAATGTGAGGAAAATAACAGAAACCCCGTGGCAGTATCTGGGTGCTTTTGAGAAGGGATTTTGCTACCTTTCTTTTCTCTGGGGCAAGGCTCCCAGCAAGTGCTGGGAAGGCTGGAGTCATGGAAGTGGTGGCAAGTGGGTGAGGGGAGCTCTGGGGGTGATTTTGCCCCCTACCTGCTCCCTGACCCTCACCATCTCCAAGAAGTTCCTCCAAGTCTTCAGGATGGTTGGCAGGAGCACGGTGACTTTTGTCATTAAGCATCCCAGCACTGATGTTGTGACTCAGTAGCTCCAGAAGAATTGGACGAGAAAGGCAAGGGCTGAGGCTTCCATCGGCAGCTAGAAGGGATTCAATGTGTCTTTCTGAAGGCCACTGGCAGCTGCAGAGGTGAAGGATTTCGGGAATGGGGGAGGGCTGCACTGGTAAACCCCAATTGCTGTGGCCACTAAGAGACACAGCCACGGCTGAGTGTCTCTGAGCTCAAAAAGAGAGATGAGCAAAAGGAGGAAAAAGAAAAAGAGGAAAGAGGGGATAAATAGCAGTAAGGAAAATGCCACTAGCATTCTGTAACTCTAGAAAAGAATATAGAAGGCGAAGCATGGTGGCTCACTCCTGTAATCTCAGCACTTTGGGAGGCAGAGGCGGGTGGATCACAAGGTTAGGAGATGGAGATCATCTCCTAACCTTGTGAAACCCCGTCTCTACTAAAAACACAAAGAATTAGCCAGGCGTGGTGGCACATGCCCGTAGTCCCAGCTACTCGGGAGGCTGAGGCAGGAGAATAGCTTGAACCCAGGAGCTCGAGGCTGCCGTGAGCTGAGGTCACACCATTGTACTCCAACCTGAGCGAAAGAATGAGACTGTCTCAAAAAAAAAAAAAAATACAGAGCTATCCGGTTGTGAATGAAGCATCATTTTGTCTATTTTATTTAAATTATATATTCTTCATCTGCATACTTGAGATTCCTGTGCTTTTGCTAAGTGAACCGTCTTAGCTAGTGATGCTCCAAGACCTGCCTTCGAGTTTAGGACAGGGGTCCTCTGTGAGGAAGCCTGGGTTCTGCTGTTAGAAGCTGTAAGGCAGCCAAGGGTTGAGTCACCACGTGCCTGGAAAAACCCCAGTTTATGCCTATTGTCTTAGTGATTATGACTAATCCCCCTTTTACTAAAGTGTCCTGGTTTTAATGAGAAATTCCAGTCAGTCTGCATATAGGCAAATTAAGGCTTCTTTTAATAGGACTATCAACCGCCCCTCCCACCTTCATTGAGGCTAAAAACCACCTGAAAATAGTTACTGCAAAATGAAATTCCAGGGCAAAGAATAACTCCTTCGAGATCATTTCTCCTCCTCAGAGACAAGTGCAGTTAGACCTCAGAAGAGCCTCCGGTTCACACACACTTGGGCCCCATTTGGACAGTATTTCTCTCTCCCTTTCCCTCTCTCTCATTTTTTTTTTTTTTTTTTTTTTTACACGCACACACACACT